CTCTCTTACCCTTAAAGATACCTTCATTGTCCTCAGTGTTTGTGGGACAGTAAGCAGCATCTCTGGATATGCCTTACCAGTTTCTCCTTTCTTCCAATTAAAATCTCTGAAGTGCAAAAGCAAGCATATAAATACACAAAACTACCTAGATCTAGGAAACAAAAAGAGGAGAATCAAGACCAGAGCTTGCACAAAGCAATACATTGATAATTTTTCTTATCAACACTTATCAAAGCTATCAAAACTTATCAACTGACAATCATTACACCAAGATAGTTCCTTGGTTCTAGCCCATGTGTTTTTTTTCGGGGGGTGACCCTGCAGTATAGAGAGCAAGAGAGGATTTGAAAATTTGGGTCATGTTCTGTCGTGGAGATTTGAGAGGACATACATGTTCTTATATTTTGCTGCTGTCTGTTTTAGGTAATTAAACATTATGAACTGACTGTGGTTACTGTCATGCCTGAGAATTTTCAGCTTTAAATTTTTGTTATTCTCAGAGATGAATTTCATGGTTCTGAGAAATGATCTTTTTTTTTCTTACAAAATGTTTATTTTTCTTTTGTCCACATTTTTATTGGTGCATTACAGTTGTCGGATTTGTTGTTATATATTCATACATGTGCACAATAATATTATTTGTTATAATAAAAAACAAATCTCTAGTATTTCCCCTTTTCCTTCCCCCTGGGTCCCTTTTCGATCTCCCTTCTATTGTCATGAGATTCCCTCTCCTCACCTTTCTTTTCCTTTTTTCTTTCTATCGTCCACATGAGAGAAAACATACCACCTTTGTTTGACCTTCTGAGTTTGTCTTATTTTGCTCAATATAATATTTTCAAGTTCTGTACTTTTCCTGAGAAGAACATGATTTCATTTTTTTATGGCTCAGTAAAATTCTATTGTGCATATATACCACATTTTCTTTAAATTCATCTGTTGATAGATATCAAGTCTGGTTCTATAGTTTGGCTGTTGTAATCATGCTGTTAGACACATGGGTATGCATTTATTGCTATGTATGGTGACTTTAATTCTTTAGGATAAATACTGGGTCATATAGTAGTTCCATGCCTAGACATTTAAAGTCTTCCTTTTTCTCCACATCCTCTCCAGCACTTATTATTGTTTGTATTCTTAATGTCTGCCATTCTGACTGGTGTGAGATAAAATCCCAGTGTAGTTTTGCTTTGCATTTCCTAAATTGCTAAATAATGTTAAATTTTTTTTTTCATATATTTGTTGCTCATTCGTATTTCTTCTCTCGAGAAGAGTCTGTTCAGTTCATTTTCCCATTTAGTTGGGTTATTTTTAAATTTTTTTCATAAATAACCCACACAATACCTTTATTTTATTTATTTTTATGTGGTGCTGAGGATCGAACCCAGTCCTCGCATGTGGTAGGCAAGCGCTCTACCACTGAGCCCCAACCCCAGCCCCTGGATTATTTTTTTGATGTTGAGTTTTTAAACTTCTTTTTTTTTTAAAGAGAGAGAGAGAGAGAGAAGAGAGAATTTTTAATATTTATTTTTTAGTTATCGGCGGACACAACATCGTTGTTTGTATGTGGTGCTGAGGATCGAACCCGGGCCGCAAGCATACCAGGCGAGCGTTCTACTGCTTGAGCCACATCCCCAGCCCAGTTTTTAAACTTCTTTACATATTTTAGATATTAATTCTTTGTCAGAAAAGTACACAGCAAAGATTTTCTTCTGTCTGTATATTCTCTCTTTATGAATATTCTTGTTTACTGTGTAGAAACTTTTAAGTTTGATGCCATCACATTTATTAACCTTTGGCATTATTCCCTAAGCTTTAGGGGTCCTATTGAGAAACTCATTGCCTGTGGCTATATGCTGGAATGTCAACTCTACATTTTCTTTTAGGAGTTACATAATTTTTGGTCCTATTAATAGATCTTTGATCCATTTTGAGTTGATTTCTGTGCAATGTGAGATAAGGCTCTGGTCTCATTCTTTTACATATGGATAACCATTTTTCCCAGCACAATTTGGTAAAATAGCTGTCCCTTTTCTCTGGTATGTGTGTTTGGCACCTTTGTCAAGGATCAGATGAATGTATCTGTGGGGTTTGTCTCTGTGGCTTTTATTCTGTACCAAATTGGTCTGTATGTTTTTTTAATTAATTGATTTAGTTTAATTAGGTATATATAACAGCAGAATGAATTTTGATTCATTATACACAACTGCAGCACAACTTTACATTTGTATGGTTGTACATGATGTAGCATCACACCACATGTGCAGTCATACATGTATCTAGGGTAATGATGTCATCTCATTCAACCATCTTTCCTGCCCCCATGCTCCCTCTCTTCACTCCCTCCCCTTTGCCCAGTCAATGTTTCTCCATTTTTCCCACACCTCCCAACTCCGTGTTATAGATCAGCCTCCACTTATCAGAGAGAAAATCTGGCCTTTGATTTTTTGGGATTGGCTTACTTCATTTAGCATGATATTCTCCAACTCCATCCATTTACTTGCAAATGCCATAATTTTATTATGATTCTCTCTTAATGCTGACTAACATTCCATTGTGTATATATACCATAGTTTCTTTATCCATTCATCTACTGAAGGGCATCTAGGTTGCTTCCACAATTTAGCTATTGTGAATTGAGCTGTTATGAACATTGATGTGGCTGCATTATTTTATTCTGATTTTAAGTCCTTTAGGTATAGAATGAGGAGTGGGATAGCTGGGTCAAATGGTGGTTCCATTCCAAGTTTTCTGAATCTCCATACTGCTTTCCAGATTGGTTGCACCAATTTGCATTTCCACCAGCAATGTATGAGTGTACCTTTTTTTTCCACATCCTCGCCAACATATATTGTTGTCTGTATTCTTGATAATTGCCATTCTGACTGGCATGAGATGAAATCTTAGAGTAGTTTTGATTTGCATTTCTCTAATTATTAGAGATATTGAATATTTTTCACATAATTGTTGATCGAATGTATATTTTCTTCTGTTCAGCTTCTTAGCCCATTGATTGGTTGGGTTGTTTGTTTGTTTTGGTGTGTTTGTTTTTATGCCAGTACCATGCAGTCTTTGTTACTATAGCTCTGTAGTGTAAATTTTAAAATATGTTTTAGTTGTAGGTGGACTCAATACTTTTATTTTATTTATTTATATGTGGTGCTGAGGATTGAACCCAGGGCCCCACCCATACAAGGTGAGTGCTCTACTGCTGAGCCACAACCCCAGCCACTCTGTAGTATAATTTAAAGTCAGGTATAGTAATATCTCCCATATTGCTTTTTTGGTTTATAATTGTTTTGACTATTCCGGGTCTTTTATTCTTCTGAATAAATTTTAAAACTGTTTTTGTCTTGCTGGGTGAAGAATATCATTGATATTTTAATGGGGATTGCATTGAATTTGTATATTTCTTATGTTACTTTGACTATTTTAACAATATTAATTCTGCCTATCCATGAACATGGGAGGCTTTCCACTTCTTGTGTCTTCTTTAATTTTCAGAGAAATAATTTTCCTGAAACATCCCATGTATTTTAGAATTAGAGCAAGTCTTAGAAGAGTGCAAGTCTATCTAAACAGTCTCCTTGAAGATCCTACAATGGTTGGAAAATAAGAGAGGAACTTTTCTCAACACCAACTGACCAGCTCTTTGGGGGGGGGGGGTAAATATCGTGGCACTTTCTCTTCTTGCAGTATGTGGACCATGAACCCCATACCTGTTGTTCCTATCGTCTTTCTACCACCCACCTGGGCTTAATTAAGCACAGGCACATGCACTCACAGACACACACATTCATCCTACTGCCATCACCACTACCAGTCATAGGAGTATGTTCATGTATTTGAGCATATATGTGCTCTGAGGATAAGAAATGCTGAAACTTAGCAGGAGGGATTTCAAAAGTGCAAGTGAAAGAATTTCACATTCCTAGATTTTATAATTTATAACCCCAGCTGAGATAAACTGGGCTGCTTGCTCCTTAGTAGGTATAACCCCTCTTAACCTGTGAATTCATTGAGTGATTGGATCCAGACACCCTACCTCCCATAGCATGAGTCTACTGAGGTACTCTTTGGTTATTTCAAAGTCACTAAGGGGAAAGAACATGGGAATTGTCACCAACTGAATCACTGGACTTGGGATAGTTCCATGTGTTTGGGAGTGTGCAGGGACTTTGTGTGTTTGTTTCTGATTTTTTTTTTTTTTGTATTAGCACAAGCTCTGGCAGGGAGTTTATCAACAAATGTTTCTTGTGAAGTGATCAAACAAATAAGAATTGGATAAACCACTTTTAATGATGAGGTGGAAATCACTTGGAAGGATTTAGGGGTAAGTCCAGCCTGAGTAGAAATCCAGCTGCGTCTTCCTCTCCTTGGCAAGGTACTTAATCTTGCTGAGCTTGAGTTCTTCTACTTTCAGGACTATGGTAAGGACTAAATAAAAATGAACTTTGTGAAATGGCTAGTTTGTCTTCAGCAGATGTATGTTTAACATCAAATAAATGAACCACTCATGTTTATCATGTTTCCTGAAGAAAGCAAGGTCTTTTATCCTTAAAATCCAATATCTAAACAACGAGAACATTTAATAATGGCTGTGAAGTTTTACATACGGTAGTAAAAACACTTGTGAGATATACACTGAATATTCTAGAATGATAGCAACTGACAAGAGCCGCATATATTATTTACAGACCACTTTTGTACCTTGTACTTTGCTAAGGGGGCCTCATGGATTTTTTTTCTTTTAATCTTTACAATTACCCTATAATGAAGTGAAATTGTGTCTCTTCTTTATGGACAATGAAATTGAGACTTCTATGAATAATCATTTGCTTCATATGTGGCAAATCAAAACTCAAATAGAAGTCTGCCTGACAGCAGGTCCTGAGGTCCCAAGCTTTACTTTGTTTTACACAAAATCCTTGACTCTATGATATAATTCATACAACTATTCAAAAATATAAATATTTTGAATATAATGAAACCACACACACAACCTTTTAATTTTTATTTATATTTCTTAGTTTAAGAATTACACACTAGCCAACATTATTATATATTTACATGCTGAAACTGGCTGCAATAAGTTTAAATTCAAGAAAATAATTCTTATGTGCTATTCATTTATAATCCTCATTTTTTTTTACTATCTCATTTATCCCAGAGATTTTAGTATAGTTCTCTTTTTAGAAAGACATGGAAACAGATGCAGTGATATCCACTTGTGTTTGCATTTTTTAGACATTGGAAATGTGCATTATGTGCATGTTAAGAAAGGCTATAAGGTCATCAGTAAGGCTGATAATCACTACATTGTGAAGAAACTAGAATATCACTTTTTATAAAAGGACAGTTCAGAACTATGCAGGGGCAGTATTTATAACAGAACTATTTAAACACCCATGCAAAGGAAAATTAAAAATGTATGGAATTAATTATAGGCAACTTTGTTTGAGTTAATTAGATTCAAAATTATCATGGCTGAATTCTCATTATTGGACCAAAAAATAAAGTAAGCTGAGGGAACTGTCAACTTGTTTCAACTGGTACAAAGACACAGACATGGAATCAGATTAGAGGTCAATGTGATAGGGGAGTGACATTTGGTTAGGAACTCAAAGAACATAAATTTTGTTTTTCGTCATTTTGGATCATATTTATCTTTATCACAAAAGCACTTCTTGAAGCAAATTAAAATTTGATGTCAGAATTTTTAACATCTACAGCAATGTTCTACTACTTATCATTTTCTAAAAACTAAACTATTTAAGAGCATTGCCCCCCACCCCCACTTTTAAAAATCGTTTCTTTAGGGAAGTATCTTTATTAGTATCCTGCTGACTCCTTACTAGTTTCTACAATCTTTCTAGTGCATTTGGAAAATGTTTTATAAACCTTTGGTGTGAAGCAGTGTCTCCCACCCCCCCATTTCCCCTATTTTTTTTTCCTTTTAAAAAATAATTCTGGAGTCTTTGGTTGAAAGGAACAATACTATCTATGGACAAAAAAGGCTACTGTTTAAAAGAAAAAGAAAAAAAACCTTCTAGTGTGCATTGTGTGTAGCAATTGTCTGGAGCTGTTATGAATAAGCATTTTTATTTTCTGTACTGCCATCAATACAAACTTTCACTTTTTGAAAATTGACATTTAATTTGCAAACTTTGGTTTCTAGTAATCTGACATATTTAAAAAAAACTCTATTAAGATATCAATAATCATTTCTCCTTTTTCCATTTTCCATTTATAAGGCTATCTCTTGGTTGTCAAATTGACTACAGAAAACACTACCGGGTTTTCTCATAGCGCAGGGAGGGTGAGAGGAAGTGAACCAGAGGGGAGTGGAAGATTATGAATGTTTGAGTCTGTGTGTGTGTGTGTGTGTGTGTGTGTGTGGTGTTTGTGTGCGTGCGTGTGCACGCATATGAGATAGCAAACTGAAACCCTTCTGTCTGGGATTCCCAAACCATTTATGCAAAAGGGTGTTTAAATTACTCTGCTGGGGCACTCCAGTAACCGTACATAGTAAATACAAACAAAAAAAAATTTAAAAAAACACAATTATTTGTATCTACTGACTATTCATTTACAGCATGTTTGATTATTTACATAATATTAGAACACATCAACTTAAGCCATAAACAGAATTAGCACTTTGCCTTACCATAAAATACAAATTAGAAGTTAAAAATATTTAAGAAATCTGTTTTAATATTTACACACTCTCAGTGAAAGTCATGGTTGCTCACATAACATGTACTTTGTACACTTAGCAAAATGGCATGATTGCTACAGTTGTATTTTTCCCTAACCAACATGGTGGGTTTAGTTTCATTTTTTTTTCTCCTCCCAGGAGGAATTTTTATGATTTTCCATTTTCTTAAGACATTTTCGCTTTTAAATCACTGATGGACAACATTATTTGTATCCTTAAAAAAGAGCAATTAGACAGGCAATGTGAGAACTAGTTAACTTGGATATTCCGAGGTACAGTACTATTGTAGTGTCAAACTCTGCAAAGGTTCATAAGAACTGTGGGCATTGATGCGCTGATACGAGAAATGCTCAGTACCCTGTATTACTTATTTCAATATGTTGATTGTTGGTTGCTAAATTAAAAATACATATACACTGGTTTGGTGAAGGAAACAAAACGTATTAGCTTATTCCTTTTGTTTTCCAACATATGGATGCATATATATGTATGTATGTTTACATGGATCAATATATACACATATACACATGTAGATATGTTGTAAGACCTGTGTTTGTTGATGTTGTCTTGCTGTTTCTGTTTTTGAATATGAAGTTAATCATAAAACAGGAACACAGTTACCTATAGAAAATGGAAATTGTCTTAGTTGCCAATTTAATGCAGGTCTTGCTCAAAATAAATGTGATTCATTTCTCCATTATGCATTCCACTGCACTTCCTTTATGTGTTGTGCTTTTTTAAGCTGACGATATTTTTGTGTATTCCTAATGCTAGAAGGTAAAGTCTTTTGGTTTACAAATCATCATCATCAGTAGTAGTAGTAATATTTTTACTTAGCACTGCTTTTGAAGAAATGAGTAAAGGTCTAGATGGCACTGCTTGAGTCTTTTCCCCTGTTATTAAATTGCAGTAGAAAGAATTGTAACATTCCTTTGCAAACACAAGATTATGTTGCATGGGTTTTCAATTCTGAAGTGCATTTCAAACCTACTAGCAGTCATGTACAATATATATATACAGGTTGAGATCGAAGATTTCATTTAGACTGTGCATTTTAGAGTCAGATTTCCTATGAATTTCACAAAGATGAGAAAACACCTTAATTGCTGGCTATCTTGCAGTTTTATAATCAAAAGAAAAACTATACATATGTATAAACTGATAGTAATATCATATCAGAATTGCAAAAACACACCTTTGTGGTCCTTTAGTTTAACCACTGGATACCAAGCTGACTGGCTGTCTGGATTTATGAAGCCTAGCACCCTTCCTTGCATTTGATAACTGCATTCAAATTCAACTAAACATATAGCTTAGAATAAATTCTATGTCTACTGTTATTTCTGGACAGGATGAGTCAGTTTTTTTCTATCTATATGTTTACTGAGTGCCAATATATGATTTTCGATCTAGGACACACATTTCAAGGTTCCATCTTCTCTCCTTTACCTAGTTTCGTTACATCGTTGAGAGCAGAAATGAATTCCTGGTCATATGTATTTGAGGCTCATGCTATGAAGATGTATCCCTCCACATTGATTCAGATCGTTGACTTGCCTAGACATCCAAAATTTTGTTGTAATCATGAATGACAATATTAAGAATTTTTATGGCTTTTATGGAAATTGCAAATAAGAGCCCACTTCTAGACTTGGGCTCTGAGTTATGTCTAGAAAAAACTTTCTGAAATGACATTTTAGACTTGTGCCCCTGAGTTATTGATAAGCTCCTTCCTGTTATTTTCTACTCAAACTTTACCCCCTGGCCACAAGGGGCAGGCACTTTTATTAGTGTGACGCCCAAAAAAATGATTGCCTAGGAGAAAGCATGTCCCTGGAGAAACATGAGAAACCTCTACTCTGAGCATACAGGGAAGATCCGTGGTCAGATTCTGCCCAGAGATTATACTCAGAGGTGTTCAAGTATGTAATCAGAAATAAAATCCAGACTTTTCTACACTGGGGAAAATTTTTTTTTATCCCACCTTGGGGCAATTTCAGAAAGTTGAATGACAAACTATTTTTTCTTATGTTGTTGTTCTCTACTAGGTAGAATAGGAGAGCAACAGGACTCTATAATATTCCAAACTACTGAATTAGGAGGGGAAGAAAACATACATTTTATCCACAAGAAAATAACTGGCCTTGGCCCATATGCATAATTAGAAATGTTACTCTGAAAAGAGGATGCTTTTATTTTCTAAGTAGAAACGGCAAAGTCATCTTCTGAGAAAAAGTTCACTCAAATCAAACTTTACATAAAATTAAACAATTCATTATTTTCTACACAAAAAGCAAAATATGAGCCTCACATCGATAGAAATAAAATATTATCAGCCTATTGTCATTTCTGTCCAACATATGAATGCATATGTCCAATTAATACAAAAAGAAACAAATGGCATAATTTAAGGTAGAATAAACCAATATACCATGTCAGCCTAATTATCAGTTATATATTTTTCTGCAATATCAACCAAGGCTCATAACTCTCAACAGATTAATGTGGCTCTAGTATTACCCTATTGTCCACTAGTTTTCATATTTTTCTTGATTAAGCAGATTGCAATATACACAATGGAAGCACCCGTTAAGAAAATCAAATCCAGTGAACCCACAAACTTTTTTCATGCACAAACTCTTTTAAAGTATTGTTTGCTTTCAAAATTATAAAGGTAAACTTCATTGCCCAGATGAAAATAGAGTTCACTCACTCTCCCAAAGGCTTACTGTGCCTGTCTTCTAAGAATATTATCAGAAGTTTGGAAGCAAGAAAATCTGAAGAGGACCATTAATCCTTTAAAGCAATAAACAAATCCTCCTTTTGAAATACCCTATTCAATTCAAAAAATAAACTCATAGGGAAATGTTCCAGAGATACCTGGCACTCTCGAAGGAAGATAACCTATTTGTTAGCCATGTCTGTATTCTATATTCCTGCATGACTCCCAATCTAACCTGAACATCTAAGATACTTCTAGTTCCCCTAACTTTTCTATTTTCTGACTGTATTCTGATTAGATAAATTATAAAAACCTCTTTAGATATGCTGTCAAAATCTTGTGATGTTGGAAAAAAAAAATAATTCTCTCTCTACCCTTTGCCACTGGACACAGTATGTACAGACCAGATGCTGTGGGGCGGTGATAAGGGTTATGCTTTCTTGCTTTAAATTTGTTACAACACTCATTTCTGGAATTTTTGACTCTGCTCTGTGTTGTTAACTTTTTAGCCACCTAGAAAATAGTTTTGTGCAAAATATTTTTTGGGTACTCCCATGTATGATAATGTTCAGAAGAGTCTCTATCTCTAAATGCCAAAATGAAGGATATCCTAGTTGATTCCCCATACTCCATCAAACACAGACAATGACCAAATTGCTGACCAAATCTCTGCCTTGGCCCCAGCCCCCTTGGGCTCCCCACCCTAATCCTGCTCCAACTATATGAGAAGCTACCAGTTCAGTGGTAATTATCTCCCCATGACATCATGATCACCTGAATAACATAGGCACAGACCATCCCAAAGTAACATGTGTGCATGGTACTGCTGATAATGTTTCATGAGCACAGCGCTATTTCAATAGCATGCCAACCTTAAGAATGAACACAGAGAGTGTCTGGATATGACCATATCTTAGGGCAATGACTGACAATGCTATTGAGCCTTTCCAGAATATCTTCTAAATGTTTCCCCTCTGAGTAGCTGCCTACTATGCAGATGAAAACGGAATACTCAAGCTCAATCCTGTCATCATGGGCTCACATCCCTTGCATTTTAACTGGAAAACCACAAGGACCTTAGTGTATTCATTACTTAGAAGAAGCAACCCAAACGGTATGAAATGGACCACAGGATAGGCCAGCAACTAAGGTATTTTAGCATCACTTTTGTCCTGGATTGATGTGTTTTCCAAGTCCTACGTCAGGCTGTACAACTGTTCTGAGGAGGAATCGAGTCCTTGATTCCCATGGGAGGCCACGTTTTAGTTCACATAATAAAGCCAATAGACGATGTTGAAGAAGGAAAAAACCACTGGGAAGAATATGCGGGACCACCTATCTATGGCATTCACGTCAGTCAAGTCGGGGATGGTGATCTTCAGCTGTGAGGCGCGCCTCCGCAGTCGACTTTTCTTTTGCGCCACGTGTCGTTCCAGAGCATTTCGACCAAAACTGTGCCTGGGCAACCCGGCTTTCCGATACTGGATGTTGGAGGCATCGTAGGCCATCATGGTGCTCCTGGGGTCTCCAAGTCCCATCACAGCCTCCGATGTGGCCATTTCGTTTTTGATTTCAAGTGTGCTCAGTAAGATGTTTTCGTGGGGGTCCATCTGCAAGGGAGAAGAATCAGAAAAGACAACTCAAACAATAATAAGCCTTGGTGGGTGCTTACAGTGCAAGGAAATATGATAAGACACACAGTGGGAAAGACAACTGGCTTTGCTATTTCACTGTGGAGTCCAAAGTGTGGCTCTGTCCCCTTAAGCGATTTGAGTTTCAGTTTTCCCATCCATGCAATGGTATAATAATCCAGTCCTGGAGAACTGTGGCAATTATGTAATTTTAGAATGCAGTGCTGTTAGTATCCCTATCATTATTTCTGTTTAGGGTATGCAGATAACTAGAAGGCGGCCTGATATGTTTAAAGAATGTATAGTCTTTATATGAACACATAAAATATTAAACTGTACTTGGTATGAGATAACGTCAGGTAATGAATTACTGGATTATGCTCATAAGTGTTTGTAGATGATTTAATGGCAAAACTAGAAGTAAAAGTAGTGAGTAATTCGTAAGGACATGCTATATATGGCAAGTACTTTTTTGGTGTGATTTCATTTCATTGATACTTTTGAACAACCACAGTAGAGATGTCACCTTAAATTTGCAATGTCAATATAAATAAGTTGAAGGAACCATTTTGAGCAATATAAAACAGGCCACATTTGACTTGCCAGAATATAAGAGAATTCAGAATGAGGAATTTGAAAATGAGAGGCTAACAACTAAACAGAGTTGGAGGTAGAGAGTTTTGAGTCTGGGAAGGGACTGGCTTGAAAGGAAAGAAAGGGGACAGGATTAGAAGAGACAGCAGGCCCAAGTCTGACTGCTCAATTGCATTCTCTTGATTCAGCTCTCTTTAAAAAATTTTTTTCCTTGTAGATGGACACAATACCTTTATTTTATTTATTTATGTGATGCTGAGGATTGAACCCAGTGCCTCATATGTGCTAGACAAGCGCTCTACCACTGAGCCACAATGCCAGACCTGAGTCATCTCTCTTGATGATTTCTTCTTGCAAAGACAAAAGTAAAGGATGAACACTGACATCCTGATTCTCAAATACTGAATTATTATATAATGTTTAGTGCTGTGTTAAGAATGGGGTGCCTTAATTTTAAAAGGGCTCAATTGTTACACATAATAGAATCTAGCCATCTCAAGTTATCATTAATAATAGACTATTACTTATTTTGGTAGACAATAAGAATACAAAAATTTCCATTAAACTTTTTGGATTTACAAAGTAAAGGAAAAAAGTGATAGCCACCAATGACACATGTAAACAAGATTACTCAATTGAAAGATATGATGAATGCTCTAAGCTTCATGAATTATGCAGATGGCAAAAAAGGTTACTAAGATTATATGTTAACAGTTAGCTTTCAAATGGTTTACCGGTCCTGCATTATAAATTAAAATCAAATAGCTTTTGAGAAACAGAAGGTACAAAAATATAGAACATGCTGCTAAGCATTAGCTGACCAATTAGTCTGCCCTTTGATCGGATATTCTGTATGTTTATTTATGGTGGCATTTTGCATAGTAAAAAGACTAAACAGATATACTATTAAAATTATTTTTAAATGTTTTTAAGACTTGGAAACTAAACTCAATATATTTTGAAAGAGATCTGTCAAAGAAAGGTCGATTAATGGTTTTAGTGATGGGTTCCTGCTCCCCAGGGAAGCAAAGAGATATTTAAAGGCTGGTGATATTTTCTAGTTCTTGGCAGCTACAAGAACATACATACTCTTAAAAGGCATTCTTCTCACAACCATACTCTTAAAAGGCATTCTTCTCCCAGTTTACAGGTGAGGGCATTCATCAAACTTCACAGAGTCAGACAGATACTAAATGGAACTGGGACTCAAACCTTGGTCATTAAAACTCAAAGGTGAGAAGCTGGAGGGTGCCATCTTCCAAAACTCAAGAAATGCAAAGCTGGTGAAAATGGGAAACCTATGGCTCATTGATATTTCAATAATGTGCTTATTTTCTGTTCTTCTCTGGGTTATACAGTTTTTTTTTAACCACTTAGAAAATAGTTTTTCAGCAAACATTCTTTTGGCCACAATGCATGAGGACACTCAGGGCTCTCCCCTTCTCAAACACCAGCATGACTGTTTTTTTCACTGAGCAATTATAATAAGAATACGTGACTTGATACCAGAACTGGCTGAGTTAAAAGTCTAAAAAACAGTAACAACCATAATAGAAACTATAGGCAACGGACTACTATGAGGGGAAACTTGTTCTAGGTTTAAAACAAATCATCCTTAGATAGTCCATTTAATCTTACTGAGGTCCCATCTTATTACCTACAGAAATCAAAAGCTGAGTTAGATAATTTCTGAAGCCTTATTGAATTATTTGTCCATTTCACCAATTAACAGGTATTGATTGAAAACCCATGGTGTGCCTGGTACTGTGCCAAATGGTCTAGATGCAGTGTAGGGCAAGTCAGCATGGTGGCTGGGTCCCCATGACAGTAACAGTCTCCAGAAAGAACACCAGCTTTGAGTCAAAAGGTTGTCCTTTGGGGACAACCTTTATTTATTTTTTATTATTTTTTTAATAGTTAACTGTTTTCTTCTTTTAACATCTTTATTTCTATTTATTTTTATGTGTGCTGAAGATCAAACCCAGTGCCTGATACATGCTAGGCAAGAACTCCACCACTGAGCCACAACCCCGGCACCCTGATTTGTTATTTTTGACATTGGAAAAATAAATGCCTCTGAATTTGGGTTTCTTCAACTATATTGGTATCTAAGAACTCCAGAGATTTGGGGAGACTAGCTGAATTAAAGCATGTGAGAAGAACTTGAGACGTTAAAGTACTTTACAAAGTTAACTATTATAACATGTTGTACATGAAGTAGGATATATATATACAGGTCCCAGTGAGATAAAAAGAAAAAAAATGACAATACATAACCAAGCACCCCCCCCCAAAACCACTGCCAAAAGATAAGTGCCTTGCTTTGCAGAGTTACTCCACTATGCACATTGTAAGCTCTCAAAATTTTGTAACCGATCTTGTTATAAAAATGCAATTGACATTGATTGAATGAATAAATTTGACCTTCTGGAAAAAGGTATGGAGAATGGCCTTTCTGTAGGTAAAGGTAATCATGTCATCCCCACTGGAGATCTGGTCAGGGGGAGGTGGGAAGGTGTGGGTGGCAGGGGAGGTGTATTGAATAGTAATATCAATTAATGAGGTGCTGTTACTCTTTGGGGTCAGTCATATCATCATAATACTTCAGCCGTATTATAAGACTTGTATAGACTCAATTAACACCATTAATAGTCAAGGAACAAATTAACCTGAACAAGGAAAGTAACTTTTCCTAGAAAACACCTATCCATGACCATGAAGCTGTGAAGTGGAGAGGGATAAGGTATAACCATCTCCAGGTGTAATTTATCTCTACACAGGGACGGAACAAAGCTGGCTGTAGTTAGTTCGTTAGGCTGCACATCATGGTTAAGGCCCAAGACACTGCTTTGATTATCCCATCCTGCCCCCCCTGAAGGACCAATTTCTCTACTACTTTCACATATTTTCTACAAAGCTTATATTTCACTCCCTCCCTACCCGCCCCCCACACCCAAATAGGTGAATCCCTCCCTGTAAGCCACACTAGAGTGTCCATGTACATCACTCCTGGGCCACCAACACATACTTCCTGGAGGTCTGGCACAGTGACTCAATCAACACCTGGGACTGCACCTGTTGTCTATTAGGTGGGGAATGGAGGATGTGGCTCCAAACAATCTCTGAGTTCTGGATTCAGTCAATGCAGGGTTTGATTCTGGGGTACCAGCCTTGAGACCCTGGGAAAAATCATTCAACCTCTCTGAGCTCTGTTTTCTTAAATGTAGAGTAGGGAAAATACTGATTCCAGTCCACTGGGGTTGTTTGAAGGAAATAAGTAACAGTACATTAAAAAAGTACTTAGCCCTACTTTGCACATAGCAAGAACTGAAAAGACTGTAACTGATCTCTTTATAAAAATGCAACAGATGTTCATTGAATGGCTGCATTTGATCTTCTACTGCCATGTTATTAAATGCCATTGACAGGTAAACAAACCAGAACTTGGAAATCATCATAATTAAAAAAAAAAAATTCTTGTTTCCTTTAGTAGCCTCTGTAAAATGCTGAGAATAATTCTTAATAGCTACTAAACACTGTATGTTTGTGTTACCAAACATAAATGAATTTACTAAATATGATAAATAATTCTAAAACAAATTAATTTTATTTATTTATTATTTTTTGGTGCTAGGGATTGAATACAAGGCCTTGTGCGTGCAAGGCAAGCACTCTTCCAACTGAGCTATATCCCCAGCCCCCCAAATTATTTTTTATTGTGAGGTAAGACAAACTGAAGCTGCATTTCACTTCCTAGGTGGAGAGGGAACAATAGACTGAGAGACAGTACTAGGTGCCCCAAGTTCATAGAGCTCACCCGCTTGATACTGACCCCAGGGGAAAATGCAGCCCAGAGGCCAGGACCCCAGAGAGACATCTCCTGTGCTGGTGAGATACACACACACACACACACACATAAACCCAATATATATATATGTGTACATATATACATATATAAATATTTATAAATATATATGTGTGTATATATACACGCGCATATATATATATATATAAAATTTGGTGAGGTGCTTAACCACTGAGCAACATTCCCAGCCTTTTTGTATTTTATTTTGAGACAGGATCTCACTAAGTTGCTGAGCTGGCTTTGAACTCATGATCCTCCTGCCTCAGCCTCCAGAGCTGCTGGGATTATAGGCATGTGCCACCACAAGCAGCTCAGATCATATTTCTTGATAAGGGCACATATAAGGTCTGTTTCATTTATTGTTGAATCCCCAAGCTTCTGGAATACTCTTAGAAAATAGTAGATGTTCAATAAATAAATATTAATGAATGAAATTAATTATTTTTTTTAACTCTAGTAATTAAATCTCTTTGTGAGGCATCAGTAAGATGGGTTTAAGTTTGCAATCCCAGACTGAAGA